AGATTTTATCACTGGTCGTTGAAAAAATAGCCAAGTTTTCAAAAAGTCATCGAAAATTTTAGCCACTTTTAAAATCTGAGCGAAAAACACTGTTCAAAAATCCGGAAAAAATACGCCCCGCAAAATTTTTACGGGGAGTTCCAGCATAAGTATGCTTGAACTCCCGTAAATTTTACGGGAGTTCCAGGATAACTATGCTGGAACTCCCGTAAATTTTACGGGAGTTCAAGCATCTGGAACTCCCGCAAATTTTACGGGAGTTCCAGCAAGTATAATTGTCCAGTATAATATACTGGAGTTTGGAGCACTGGTGCTCCAGTCTCCCGCAAATTTTACAGGAGTTAGCAAAGTATACCGGTCCAGCATAATATGCTGGAGTTCGTACAAAAATGCACCAGAACTCCCGTATATTATACTGGACCGGTCCCTGTTGCAGCAAAATAGTGGCTATTTTTCATTGACTTGGTAAACGCTGGCTATTTTTCATTCACCAGTGTGAAAACTGGCTATACCATGATATTTTAACTAATCTCATGCATTCTAAACTAAGTTTTTTTGGGAGGAAGGATTCATTTTTAGTATTATTTTTAATTTATATACATGGGTATTGGGTTGAAACTAATTGCATTCGCTAGCTAACAACCGGGGCGGCCCTTCCCTAAAGCAGGTAAAGCAACTGTTTTAGGCCAGGTTTGGGTGGGGTGGGGTGGGGTGGGGGGCTCATTTTTTGTTACACCTAATATGCTATATATAATATAAGTTATAAAAAAAGTTATGTTAAGTGAAAATGTTTGATTTCTTACTAAACAATATAGAGAAGAAGGCTTTGCAATTGCTATACTTTCTGCTAAGGAAATTGCATTTGAAATGAATATGGAACCCGAATTTCGTAAGAAACGTGTAATATATAGGAAGAAACAATTTGATGAAAATGTTGAAAATTAAATCTCAAAATTTCTCGAAGAGTCTTTTAGAGTTGATTACTTTTATACATAGTAGACAAAGCTATTTTTTTTTACTTCATAATAGATTTAAACAATTCGAAGCATATGAAAATATTTTTGGTTCTTTATTTAGCGGTAAAAAACTGAGGTCACTAGATGATGAAAATTTTAAACAACATTGCCTTGATCTTGAATGTTCCTTAAAGCCTTATAAACAATCTGTATTGATGGTTTAGATTTATTTTCCGAATTAAAAGTATTAAGAAAATAGTATAATTAAAAAATAGTAGTTTATTTGATATACTAATCAATCAAATAAGAAGATTTGATTCTTTTTCAAATGTCTATATTGTTTATAAGAAAATATTAATAACTCTTGTTACCATTGCTTCAACGGAAAGAAGTTTTTCAATATTAAAAATTGTTAAAATATTACTCCTACTTAAGATCAACAATATCTCATAGGATGTTAAATGAATTAGCTATATTGTCAATTGAGAAAGACTTATTAGGAGGAATTGATTATAAGAAAATTATTACTAACTTTGCATCTAAAAAAAGCTAAAAAGATAGACTTTAAATAAAAAATAATTTCTTTTTTTTAAAAAAAAAAAAAGTTAATGCCCCTAGTAAAATTTGACTTTAGGCCACAAAATTTGTCGGGCCACCCCTGGCTAACACATATATAAAAATATGTATATTATATGTATATAATGCACATATATACTCCCATATTCTATCGGCTATTATTTTTGGAAGTGGGTAAAAATTATATATTTTTTCCATTTTAATTGGGTTATTATTTATTAGACTGTAAAAAAATAAGAAAATATTGTCGGAAAATTGTGTATTCCGGTGATTATGATGTTTTTATGAGTTAGTGAAAATTTTATAATTTTTGTGTGGGAAAACATAATTATATGACTTTGATATTGATAATAAAACAAAGTCATATATGGTAGTGATCTAGCTTCTCAGTGTTTAACTTGGAGAAAAAGGAAAATTCATTGTCGTGCTTATGCTTTATGGATCTTTTGATTCCCATAGTAGTTATGTAGCGATTATAACAGACAGATCGTTGTGCATTTATGATAATAAAAAAAATTATAATAAAGAGATGGTTATGCAAGAATTACTTATTTAAGGGCACTTTCGATTCAAATAGTTTAATTAACGTATTGCTGACATATATATTCTTATCTTATATGTTATCTCCCATAATATATTACATATATTATTGCATAACACTATGAATATTGTTTAATATTGTCAATCAAATAATGCAATAGCTATTGTTTAATAAAAAAGTGTTAAGCCTTTTGTTATACTAATTAATGAAGAAATGAAGTGTGAATCTAGTTAAATATAATAAATTCTAGATCAAATATTGTAGGATATTGATAAGATGAACAACGTTCGAGATCAGTAAATAGCAGATTTATACTCAATGATTACCAATAAATATTATATAACATGAACATGCAATAAATGTATATTATGGCAACAAATGTAATAAGAAAGAATCCACCATCCAATTATTATATGATTTGGATAGTGATGAGAAGTGAAGATGGATGAAGAATCTTTGGATCTTGTGAACAAAGATTAAACAACGTGTGCTTGGATAAGGTAATCAGTGAACAAGACAACTTTGTATATTCCTTCAAGTCAACCTTTTACAATGTGCACTTATCAAAAAGTGAAGATCCCCCAAATGTTCTTTATCTCTTCCTATTTATAAGGGGTATTTCCAAGCAACCCAAAAAGTAAAAAATAAGGAATATCCAAAGGAATATTCCTTATGTCCATTTCTAAACCT